CCTGTTAACATCCTCACGTACTTGAGAGTAGACAGGTGAACGAGAATAGGCAGAGGTAGGTCCGCGGCCAACTGGCAGTGCAAGATGAAAACATGACTCGCCATAAGCATCAAATCATCATCAATTATACTCAACCTTCTGAGCACACTACGACTTCGATCTGCATGACCAGGACAGGCATGACCAGCAAAGCTGTCAGGATACATTGCAATGTCACCAAATCACATAGAATCAGCTACTATAATCTGGGCAAAAAATTGCAATCACATAGAATTATAGGCACTTCTTTCACTCAACACCATCTTTGCAATCTTAAGCGGTCAAGACCATCTGAGGAAATATCACAAAAGAGCTCCAGCGCAATGTATACATCCACCCTTATTTACCTTGTACCTGTGTTGGTTTAGAAACAGCTCCTCAGTTTCCAGGTCGCATGATACGTGTGGAAAAACCTAGCAAGTGTTCTAATGAGGTTGCATCAAGTTGTGGTTTAGGATAATAGCAACACCCCAGAAAAGGTAAAAACAAACCGAAACAAATTAACCAAAAAAATTCTACTGCTTAGAAAACTATGTAATAAGTTTAATTAAAGATGTCTGTAATCTGCTATCAGTGTACGATAGCAGGAAAAAGAAAAGAAACAAAGAAGAGGGAGAAAACTAAAAGAACCCAAGGATTTTCTAAAGGGACAAAAGTAGAAATGTTGCTCAATGCCAAAATATAACGGCTGTAATCAGCATGGAATCCAATAAATGCAAGATCCCAGTGCATTTGCTTCTTGATCAGACCTAAAATCACAAGCAACAGAACAAAAGAGCTTGCATTAATGTGAGAGACTTCCAAAATCAAGTACAAGAATTCCACAGCCTATAGACCTCAGATGAACGGAGCTGTAGAAGCCGCTAACAAGAATATCAAGAAGATACTAAGAAAGATGGTAGAAAAGCACAAACAATGGCACGAGAAGCTGCCATTCGCTTTATTGGGGTATCGTACCACAGTCCGCACATCAANAAGAAGGCTGGAAGGGGAAACCTATCATCACATCGAACGTGTCAATGCCATTGAGAAAGACAAATGGTGGAGTATCAAAATAGAAAGTATACTGGCATGGTCTGGGTATGAACCCGGCAAAGGGCTTGGGAAGAATCTCTAGGGTATCATCAAACCGATACAACTGAAGGGTCATGGTACTACCTTCGGGCTCGAATATCAGTACACATGGCAAGAGTACAATGATTGGTCACCTCCATGGCGCGGACCGAATTACCCTCTTGAGCAACCAGTGCCACATTTGGATCAAGCTTTTCACCAAGCTGATACAATATGGGGAACTGCAGAAGAAGAAGCATTAGTTGGGCTGATGAATCTATTCGTTGGAGGATGAAAACATGGACTAGAGGAGGAGGAAGAAGGCCCCACTATTCAGACTATGGAGAAGGGAGCTGTTCTCAGGAACTGGACCACCACACCGTCCCGGGCCCGCCGAGTCCCTGGGTAGCTTGGCAGATTTTATTTCTATAGCCATTCTAAGCATTTAAGATTTTTCAGTAATTTTGTTTCAAAATAAATGCTCGATTCATCGAGCCGTACTTGTCTGGATGTTTTCAATTTTAATCAAATGCATTTCTCTTTATTATTCATCATTATTTTCTACACTTTTTCTTTCTACAGCGTTATTATTACTTTTCCTGATATACCGGTGACTGTCACATGTAATGAGGCAACACAATATGAGGGTAGTGATTCGGATGAAGAAGATGAAATACCCGAGGAAGTTGTTAGGGAGGTTAAAAACTTTGAGAATAAGCCTAAGTCCAACCTGGACGAAATCGAAGCAGTAAATTTGGGGGACGCCGAGACCGTCAAAGAAACTCGCATCAGCATTCACTTGTCATCAACAGAGAAGGAAGAGTACATTCGTTTCTTAAAGGAGTATGAGGACATTTTCGCATGGTCATATGATGACATGAACGGTTTGAGCACGTCCATAGTGGCTCACAAGTTACCTACCAATCCAATGTGTCCGTCAGTGAAGCAGAAACTCAGAAAATTCAAACCAGATATGAGCCTGAAAATCAAGGAGGAAGTTACTAAGCAGATCAAAGCCAAAGTTCTCTGGGTGGTTGAGTACCCAACCTGGTTAGCCAACATTGTGCTAGTTCCGAAGAAAGATGGGAAAGTCAGAGTATGTGTTGACTATCGAGATTTCAATAGAGCAAGTCCCAAGGACGACTTTCCACTGCCAAACATACACATCTTGATCGACAATTGCGCCAAGCATGAACTCCAATCCTTTGTAGATTGCTTCGCAGGTTATCACCAGATCTGGATGGATGAAGAAGACGCAGAGAAAATATCACTCCAATGAGTGGTTCTACTTTACAAACGACACACAAACTAGGATCACGTATAGGTAGAATATAATCCATAATACTTCTAAATGATGGACTAACAAAGTATGCAAATTAACGCAACTAATTCTTGATTTGAATGAAACCTTAACGCATCAATGATTATTCATTCAGAATGGTTACTATAGTGACATCGAGATATAATTCACATCCCATAATTTGATTATACCTTCGGGGCTATTCACTGAAAAAATGAATTTAGTGGGGTACATGGACTTGATTGGTTCGGTTTTTATCAAAACCAAATCAAACCAACTATATCGTTTTGGATAAGTTCGGATTTGTCAGGTTTTACGAGTTTTTTGTTACTTAAATATTATTTCAATCTTATTTTGTTAAATTTTTGATAAATAAATATATATTTAGTAAAAATATAAAAAACTAACAAACATATTATCTATTAAAATATTCTTATGGGAGAATTTTCTTAGTAACACAAAATAGTTATTTTTTTAGTCGCATGACATAATTTTTGTTGATGTGCACTTTCAAGGTTAACCGAATTTAGTAATCACTTCACATTTGAAAAAAATATAAGAATTTAATAGATCTTAACATATGATATGAATATGGAAAAACAAAGAGATTGACGCATATGAGTAACACTTAATAAGAAAATAATCATACAATCCATTATTTAAAGTTGATAAATATGTAGAACTTCATATTCTAGTAAGTATTATATCCACAAGAGAACCCCACAAATTTTCTAAACATTTTTGAAAGAAAATTCTATATAAAATTTTAAAAATATATATAAAATTTATATGTTTATGTCGATCTGATTTGAATTTTTTTACTCAATACCAAACTAAATCAAACCAAATTTAGTCAGATTGTTTAATCAGTTTGGTTTGACTTTTCGGTTTGGTGCGATTTTCCGGTTCGATTTGTACACCCCTAATACTAATAGCATGTTTGATCAAGCTCTTTGAGCCAAAGCTGTTTTTTTTTGGGGCCAAAAATGCCTTTTCAAAGTTAAGGTGTTTGACAACACTTTTAGAAGGGAAAAAAAAGTGATTCTAAATAGAAGCAGAAATAGTTTTCGAGAAGCAAAAAAATGTAACTCCCCCCTCTCCCGAAAGAACTTTTTCGAAAATCACTTTTGAGGAAAATACACTTAGAAGTACTGTTTAAAAGTTTGGCCATATTTAATTGTTGCTGACAAGTGTTTTTCAAATTATAAAAACAATTTTGAAAAAATATTTCTCAAAATAAGCTGACGTTTGAAGCTGGACCATACAGGCATTCTGTCTTATCTAGTGATAGATTCACGATTGTAAATCAAACACTTCTGCGATAATGTAAATCATGACGGGGTATAAATAAGAAACGCACACACATGTAGCAAAAACCATTAACTTACCTTATTAGCTATTTTAGGTTAAAAACCATAACTTGCCTCATTTGAATAAAACCCTTCCAAACATCCACGTTGCCTAAATAGTTTACCACTTTCCATGTACGTCCAAGAAAGTCTGACTTTCCATCAGTTAATCTAAATAAGAAGAAATCCCCAAAAAGAAAAGATGTTGCTACAGTATTTTGCTGAATCTAAAGCGTGATACTAAGTTCAGATTTTAGACCCAACCAATTAACTTACCGGTGATTCAGATGGTGGCCACCAATTTTGGTTGCTGAGGATTGAAGAATCGAGAGGGTACTTTGAACGAAATTTTTTTCTTTCAACGAATTTTGGTGGCCAGAAATTTCTTTGAAAGAATTTTTTTCTCTTTTTTGCAGTCTTTAGGGTAAATACGATATAAAAATTTAGGCGCGAAAGGATTTAGAGGGAAAAGGAGAAATTAGAGGAAATATGAAAAGAAAAAATAACTATATTGGCGGTTTTTCTCTTGAATGGGCGCTAAAACATACTAATTAGTAGCCAATATTCATTAGCCAGTAATATTTAGCCTCCATGAAATAATTAACGGCAATTGTCCTATTGCCGCTAAAGACCTTTCTTTTGTTGTAGTGAGCTCCGAGCTTTCAAAAATAGCGATAATATAGTTCAGCTTTATGTAATCCTATAGGCTATGTGAACTAACTCCAAAGAAAAAAAGTGAACTAACTCTTAACCAGTTATCTGTCCATTTTCGCTGTGGTCTTTTTTTCTTTTTCTTTTTGTCATACACTGATACACAATCTAGCACAAACTTGCTTGAAATTTACTCCAGATAACTCATTTTTGTATATTCAAGGAGCAACTTATATCTGGATTACCCATGCCCAGTTTTTTCAGTGACATATTGAGGTAAAAATATACATTTATCAACCAATGATTAATTGATAAATGTGTATGTAAATGACACGTGCCATTTGTCTATTGCTTTGCATGAGCATCAAGTGTGGATAACTTTTTTATTTCCCTTTCCTGTTAACATCCTCACGTACTTGAGAGTAGACAGGTGAACGAGAATAGGCAGAGGTAGGTCCGCGGCCAACTGGCAGTGCAAGATGAAAACATGACTCGCCATAAGCATCAAATCATCATCAATTATCTCAACCTTCTGAGCACCACTACGACTTCGATCTGCATGCCAGGACAAGGCATGACCAGCAAAGCTGTCAGGATACATTGCAATGTCACCAAATCACATAGAATCAGCTACTATAATCTGGGACAAAAATTGCAATCACATAGAATTATAGGCACTTCTTTCACTCAACACCATCTTTGCAATCTTAAGCGGTCAAGACCATCTGAGGAAATATCACAAAAGAGCTCCAGCGCAATGTATACATCCACCCTTATTTACCTTGTACCTGTGTTGGTTTAGAAACAGCTCCTCAGTTTCCAGGTCGCATGATACGTGTGGAAAAACCTAGCAAGTGTTCTAATGAGGTTGCATCAAGTTGTGGTTTAGGATAATAGCAACACCCCAGAAAAGGTAAAAACAAACCGAAACAAATTAACCAAAAAAATTCTACTGCTTAGAAAACTATGTAATAAGTTTAATTAAAGATGTCTGTAATCTGCTATCAGTGTACGATAGCAGGAAAAAGAAAAGAAACAAAGAAGAGGGAGAAAACTAAAAGAACCCAAGGATTTTCTAAAGGGACAAAAGTAGAAATGTTGCTCAATGCCAAAATATAACGGCTGTAATCAGCATGGAATCCAATAAATGCAAGATCCCAGTGCATTTGCTTCTTGATCAGACCTAAAATCACAAGCAACAGAACAAAAGAGCTTGCATTAACGTCATCTATATTCTTTCGAGCAAATAATGATATGAAGGGGCATGTCCAAACCAATGAAAAATCAACCCTTCCACCACCCAAACTCCAAAAAATTTCCATTTTTGCCCTTTTGCCCCTAAATATTCAAACTATTAGACCTTGCTAGTATTCACAGTTCCATTTCAAGCATGTCCTATATTTACATCCAACATCTGCACTATCTACCTGTGTTCATACGGTCACCCCCTGGCAATCTGAATACCTGTGTTCAATATGGTCACCCCTGGCAATCAGAACCAAAAGACTCATGAAGATCCTCCAAGAACTCTCCTGAGGTCAGATTTCTGTGCTTCTGTGAGCCTTGATGGATACTTAACATCCATCTTGATTCTTAGATTTCCTTTTCTCCGAGGATCTTTTGAAATTGGCATCCCTTCATTTGGGACAACTACCTCATGCCCAGGTTTGACAATGTCAGTCAATGGGATAATGAGATTTCTCCCATCCAGTGTCGTAAGCTCCAGCGTTCTTCCAGTGAGAGCTTCAAGAAGTGAAATCTCTTGATTGACAATAAGGTCATTCCCATCCCTTGCATAGACATGATGAGGTTTTTCCTCGATAACAAAAACCAGATCGGCGGGAATAATACCAGGTTCCTGATTTCCCTTTTCAGGAAAAGTTACCTTGGTGCCCTTCTTCCACCCAGGCTTTATCTCGATGGTCAATATCTCCTCTAGAGTCCGCAGCTTCCTGCAATAGAACAATATACATATCACAACAAAGTAACTAACATTGATGAACATCCTATGAAATTACGGAATGTATCATCAAAAATTCATCAAATAACGTCTCTATAGATCCAAAAAAATATAAAATCCATGAAACTACAAATATAAACAGAGGATTCATACAAACATCTCATGTCTAAAAGCAGAGGATGGTGAATCACAGAACTTATGTTCCAACAGGGGAAGTACATTTCTCTATGGAGTGACATCATTACTCTACACACGAAGAAAGTCAGCTAATAATCAAAGTTTTAGATACCCAACCGAGATCATTAGTACTTAATGAAGAATTTGCATTCATACCACAGAGAAATCCAAAGCACCATAAACCATTTCATATATTCACATACTTCCTATCTCAAAAGTTTCTCCAGCTAATCTCCACCAAAAGATCGTCAACCACAACTGAAAGGCGGAGACATACTGGATGACCACAAAAGAATAACGATAGAAAATGTTCAAACTGAACAGAGCTAACTAACAAGATTGTGAGTGATGATACTGACAGTTTAAGAACCATTTCACTATTACTGTAAGATGGAAGAGTGCATCAGAAAAAGTTATAGAGAATAGTTATGAGGTTTTGAAACAATTTTTTTTTGATGGGTAAATAATATATTATATAAATATTTGCACTAAGCCAGTGCAACACGCATAATTACAGGTTGTGCAAATCAGCAATCGCGTCTAAGATAACATCTACATCTGGTGCAAAAGCCAGTTTGCACCAAAAAGCGATCAACAAAATGCAATTAAGCTTAAGGCACTGTAAATTTCTTCTTTTGCCTTCAAAAATTCTACTGTTTCTTTCAAGCCAGACAGACCACTAGATAACTTGAGGAACAGAGTTCCAGGTCTTTTGAGCTTTCTTGCATAGACCCTCCCTGGTCCCAGCACTTCAGCATTTCTGAAATGGAGCTAGGCATGGTCCAAGACATACCAAATATTGAAAAGAATATGTTCCATAACTGGTTTGTAACCTTGCAATGCAAAAAAAGATGGGTAACATCTTCAGATTGTTCTTCACATAAAGAACATCTGCTGCACAGCTTGAAACCCCTCTTCTGGAGATTGTTTTCTGTGAGGCATGCCTCCTTAGCCACAATCCAAGAGAAGCAAGAAACTTTTAAAGGTGCCATGTTGTAACATATTTAAATCCAAGGCCATAACTCACTGTTGCTAAAACCCAGCATATTGTAACAGCCTTTAACTGAAAAAATGCCCTTGGAGTTACCCTTCCAACTGATAGAGTCCATTTTGTAGTGGTCCAAAACAGTGTTGCTTAGCATTTGTAGCAAGAGGCCTACCCTCTCCATTTTCCAATCATTAATATTCCTTCTAAGTCTCAAATTCCAGCCTAGCGATGTACAGAAATCTGCAATTGCCCCATTATGACGCAAGGATAGATTATAAAAATCTGAAAATTGGTCTTTTAGTGGCGTATGACCCAACCATGCATCTTCCCAAAACCTGATTTTCCTTCCATTGCCAAGAATAAAACCCATGTTTGACTCAAACTTGTTCCAATGCCCTCTAATATGTTTCCATAAACCGGTGCCATGAGGCACTCTAGACTCTTTGGTGCACCATGGATTGTCCAACGAAAACTTTTCCACCAAAGTTCTCCAAAGTGCATTTTCCTCCATGTTGAATCTACAATTCCACTTCATCAGAAGACTTTCACTATGATTCTTAAGGTTTTTAATTCCCAGACCCCCTTCCTTTTGTCTTTGATGACCGTTTTCCAATTTACAAGGCAAATAGGCTTTGATAGTTTATTGCCATTCCAAAGAAAATCTCTCCTTAATTTGTCCATGCGTTTCAACACTGAAGAAGGAGCTGGAAATAGAGACACGGTGTAAGTGGGTAGTGCGTCAAGCACACTATTGATTAAAGTTATTCTACCACCCACGGAGAGATATTGTCTCTTCCAATTCGCCAACCTTTTTTCCATCTTCTCAAGGACCTCATTCCAAATTGACACCGATTTGTATTTGGCTCCTAAAGGTAACCCCATATATTTTGTAGGAAACGAACCATGGTTGCATTGCAATAATGTTGCAAGTTGACTGATATTTGGCACAATATTCACCGGAAACATGGAACTTTTTGAATAGTTTATGTGCAAGCCCGACGCCGATTCAAACAAAGACAAAATCATTCTCAAGATTAAAACCTGATGTTCCTCTGCATCACATAAATTAGGGTGTCATCAGCGTATAAAACGTGAGAAATTTTAATATTCCCCAAGCCTCTACTGTCTGCGTGGAAGCCCGAAATCGAGTTTACTTGTGAAGCTTTGTGTATCATGTTGCTAAGCCCCTCCATGACTAGAATAAAGAGAAATGGAGAAAGCGGATCTCCTTGCCTAAGTTCTCTTTGTGAAGAGAAAAAACCCCGGGGAGTACCATTTATTAGAACTGAAAATTTTATTGAAGAAATGCAAAATCTCATCCAGTTAATCCATTTGTCGCTAAAACACATTTGACTCAGCATACCCAGTAAAAACTTCCAGTTAACATGGTCGAAAGCTTTCTCTATGTCAAGCTTACAAATGATCCCCGGCTTTCCTAACTTAACCCTCGAATCCAAGCATTCATTAGCAATCAAAGCAGCATCAGTAATGTTACTGTCACTGAGAAAAGCCATCTGAGAAGAGCTGATTAACTTCGGAATCACTAAGTCTATTCGCCAAAGCTTGGGAAAAGAATCTTGTAGAAACTACCTATCAAACTGATAGGTCTATAATCTTTAAGTTCCTTTGCACCAATTTTCTTAGGGATGAGAACTATGTAAGAACAGTCCAAACTTCTCTCAAATACCTCATGGTTATGGAAATAGTTGAGAGCATTCAATAAATCATCTTTAAGAATCGGCCAACACCTTTTGTAGAACCCCATAGAAAGACCATCCGGTCCTGGAGCTTTGTCGCTTTCACAACTTTTAATGATGCATAAAATCTCCCCTTCTGTAAAAGCTCTATGTTGCCACTCTTTTTCATCACTAGAGATACAAGGGGCATTATGATACTCCCAGTGTGGTCTCCAAGGCTCATTCTCCCTGTAAAGTGCCTCATAAAAACTAAGAATCTCATTTGTGATGATATCTTTGTTTTGAGTAGAAACTCCCCCCACTTCCAGCTTGTCAATTTGGTTGTATTTATTCAAATAAGATAGGATTTAGGGGTCGAAAGGAATCTGTTTGAAGTCTAAGAACTGCACATATTAAGTATTTAAAAAAGAGCAATAGTACTTAGCGGAAAAATCATGACTCGTAAAATTTATAATTGCAAACAAGATGTATATCATATCTAACGATAAAAAGGAGCAGAAGACCATATCGGTCCATTCACACCACAAATTTAAACCAAAAAGTTTCAAAAGTATTGGCATCTTACAAAAATGTCAAAATTTAGACTGCTCAGTTCTGTAAACAGTTCTAAAACACCCAAGAGATTTTCCAATGTTTTTATGAAATTTTCTTTATACAAACTGCCAATGATGACAGCCACTGCAAAACAGTTCCATGTGTGTTCATAAAGAGAGAGTTCAACTAAGAAAAATCCAAAGAATACCGGATGAAGACAGAAAGAGAATATGTGTGTGTATGAAAATTATAAACATAAAATGAAATGCGAACAATGAAATTTAGAAAATAAATACTTTCACAAAGGTGTTGCAAATAACGAAGTCTCTCTCTCATGGGTCGTAACCACAAGAAAACCAACATGTCTCTGATTCTGAGCCAAACCAAAGAAAGAACAAAATCACAAGTTGACAGAGTTCCCAAAGGCGAAAAGCATAGAAAAGCACCAAAGTCTGTTGGGGCTTAAGTGCAAAATATAATCGAATCGTTGGACAAAAGTATTGTCAGAAGCAATGAATAGTTTTCTTATAGGAGTGAAGTTCTTCTTATTCCTACTATCATTCACTATATTTTGTTAAATAGGCGTATCAAGAAATGGGCCACCAAAGCATAGAAAAGCACCAAAGTCTGTTGGGGCTTAAGTGCAAAATATAATCGAATCGTAGGCTTTAATCAAGAAATGGGCCAACAAAGAAAAACTAAAAAAATATATATGTATTTACTTGGACAAAAGTATTGTCAGAAGCAATGAATAGTTTTCTTATAGTAGTGAAGTTCTTCTTATTCCTACTATCATTCACTATATTTTGTTAAATAGGCGTATATCAGTTTGCCAACTGCCTGCTTAAAAACAGAGCATGACGATGAGGCACATGTTTAGAACCTTGGTGGTAGAACTAAAGCACCACCTAAACGAGACGAAAAAGGGATTCATCTAAGTTCAACTGAACCTTTAACGACACTGCAAATTGAGGTATAATGGAAACAAGATACCCTAATTTACTTTGCAGGATTAGTCTCGATAAACGTGTGATCATTTTTCGAATTATGTGAATAGTGAATGTATTTGAGGAAAGTGATATTTTTCTTATAAAGATGAGGAAAGTAACATATTCTCTCACTGCAAAATTGGGTCAAGGACTAAAGTTCATCCACTTGCTGCAAAGTATTTTTGGGGTAAAGTTATGGAGGCGTGTGTGACACAACGCTAAGCGTGAACTCTTTTTTTCTTTTTAATAACCTTGGTGTCCAAGCTAGCTTGTGCGCACCTCGACTAATTCCACGGGATACTTGCTACCTCTACCAGTAGTCGAGGCGCGCACTAAGGTACATCAGGGCTTTAAGCGCAAAGCACAAATAAAGCATGGGCTTTAATGAAGAAAGGCGCAAATAGAAAAAAGTACAAAAATGTATGTGTAGTCCAAGAATAATAATTATAAGCATGAATAACAAATATATGGATAAGGAAATTGATTTTTTTTTAAAATAAAGTGAAATATTAATTGTTTAAATTTAACTCTTCAGGATTACGCTCATTGGCAAGGAAAAGTATGCCTTAGAGCCTTGATGACAACAATGAAGCGCCCGCTACGCGAGACAAAACACTCAATATGATTTGAACCTCGTTTTAGGGCTTAAGCGCGCGTTTGACACACCGGTCCGTGAGACGGTCAAGACTACAAAACAACAAGAAATCAAGCATCGAGCATGAAAAAGTCACTGCTAATCACTTCGGGCATCTATACTAGACAAATGTAAGGCCGGGAAAGCTCAAAGATGATGATTCCATAGGAGCGAATATAGCGAACTTGAGGGACATTAGGTTTGTCATATTCAGTGTCTAGCGATTCATTTACAAGCATGGTTGTATCAATTACTTTTATTGAAAAAATATAAGGAATTTACGACCCAATTGCCAATCACACCTTTCAACCCTTCTGTAAGCAGCTTTGAGAAGATCACATAGAAACATCTCACAGGAACAACCAACAAGACTAATAGGCATGTAATTTGTAAGCTCCTTTATCTCGCTTTTCTTAACTCCTTCCAATATGCTCATGCATATGCAAGTGATTTATAGCCAGAATTGGTTCTAATTCAACCACTGACCAAGATTTCAAATAAAAACCCATTGAATAACCACTGTTATCAGGAGCTTTGTTCGCAACAATCTTTAATCACTCTCGAAAACTCTTCTACATGGCCTAAACAGTAATAACGGAATTGGAAGCTTGCCACTTGTCTAAGTATAGAACCCTAAAATGTGTGATTCTAAACTCCTTTTTTAAATTCTAAACTCCTCTTTCAACCCATGGATACATTGAAACTCCTTCCAAGATGCTCATGCATATGCAAGTGATTTATAGTAAGAATTGATTTTGATTCAACCATTGACCAAGATTTCAAATAGAAACCCATTGAATAACCACTTATATCAAGAGCTTTGTTCGCAACAGTCTTTAATCACTCTCGGAAACTCTTCTACATGGCCTAAATAGTAACAACGGAATTGGAGGCTTGCAACTTGTCGAAGACTTGAAGTATAGAACCCTAAAATGTGTAATTCTAAACCCCTTTTTTAATTTTAAACTCTTCTTTCAACTCATGGCTAGTCAAAAGGCTGGTGGGCTGCTTTGGATGTATTCCAATGGGCCATGTCATGAGAGCTGAGAGCAACATGAGAGAGGGCTTGAAGAATTAACGGGAGAGCTAGGCCAAGTTTAAAGCAAAGCCCATGGAAGAAGTTATGGAATGAATTATGGGCTATGGCATGAAACTAAAAAGATTCAGAATTTGAATCTTTTAAATGAAACACGCGTCGAGCCAATTTACTTTTTAGTATTGCTTTGCATCTGCTCGATGCCTAGTAATGAATTACTTTACTTCATAAAAAAAATGCGACATGCGTCGAGCCTACACGCCACCGTCTGATTGGATCGTATAACCTCTCATTAACCAAGCTTTTCTTTGGCTCAAGTAAAGATGTAACATCATCAGCATCGAAACGGGTTTATAAGCAAATGTGAGCAACAAATTCAAATCGGGGATAAATGTTGATTCACCCAAATTAGAGTAGACGGTACTTTCTCGCCAACTTTAATCTCAACATTTATGAATTTCTTGAAGTGGCGATTAGATAAGCAATCTAGCCCATTTCAAGAGTTCCCTATCCTTGATGTGGGAATTAATGGAAGAGGTTAAAAGAAGAGAGGTGGATAGGAACTCCCAGAAGTCTGACCCATGTTTATTGGGGCTTCCTATCAACTTGATTCTTTAGGTACTGATCTCTGAGTTTGATTTCGTTAGCTTCAGTGATAGATAGATGTTCAAACAAAAAGAATTATTATTGTGTTAGAAGACTTGTACAGAGGATTTTCGAGAATGTTAGGCCCATGAGAAAATCTTAAAAGAAGGGGGTTAGGGTATCATGTGACTGACATGGACCTCTTAATAACATAAGGAAATCCACTCCAAAGATAAGGGAGCATTCTTCCGTCAACAGATTAAATACGTGTTGGCACCCTTTCTTAAAGCAACATCTCAGCATGCCCTTGCAATAATTTCACAACTTCAAATAGCTTCTGCAAGGAAAGATTGAGCTGGAGGGGGGTTTATTGGGATGGTTCCTTTTTGTACATACCTCCCAAATTGATTGCGGGAAGAGGTAAGTTTTATTGATCCGAAATATCTTTTGTTCCTTCCTTTCCATAAAGTCCACCTACTTTGTGATCAATGATCAGTATTGACAAAGAAGTTCATTAAGACTTAAGATAAGGAAGTCCCTCCTCTGCCTCTAATACATACAATACTGACATATCTATTCGTATCTGTTAAAGCTTTAGAACAAGAGATAGCCACATAACTGATCCTTTACTCTATCTATTGCTGACTTCCTCAGGTCTATTGGATGCTAGTAGAGGATTTGGCGAAACCAGAACCATCATGGCCCTATAAGCATACTACTAAAACTCCTTTGCTTTCTTTCAATATACTCATACCATATGTCCTTTTCTATCAGCTTTTTTTTTTTTTTTAAATCTAGACAATTGTATGACCAACTATGAAGAGATTTTTCCTTTCCATGATTTGAATGAACTTCAGCTTTGGAGGGACCACTTCTATCGTCTTCCTAATGTAGATATAAATTACTCGTTCATCATCAAAGACAACAGTTGCTAAAAAAGGATAGAAACATATGAAAGAGGGGACAAAAAATGGGATCGCATGGTTGGCTTTGAAGGAATAGTGGAGGATGGTTAAGAGGTTGCACCTAGGAAGGAAGAGAAAAAGGAGGAGAACTTCTCGGTGGTTCAGGTGTTGATTGAAGTTAGCACAGAACTGTTGAACTTCTAGAGAGAGAAGACTGCATCTCTGCAGAGAAGGGGATTTGCAATATGTAGCAGATGTTTCCATTGTGGAAGATCAAAGGAATCTACTAATTGCCTACTACTGCATTGTGAAAGCAGCTGGCAGATTTGGACTTTGTTTTTCAATGTCTTTGGTATTCGATGGATAATTCCAGAAGATGAGAAAGGCTTAAACAAATGCTGGAAAGTTCAGAAGACTGGCGCAGTTTTTGAGAAGATTCGGAAGACAGTTCCATTATGCATCATGTGGACTATTTGGCTCGAAAGGAATAAAAGATGTTTTGACGGGGCCTTATTTAAAAAAGAAGATGTTTTGAGTGGGAAAAGCAACATGTAACTTTTTGTAAGAAAATGCTGTATATAAAACTTATATATGTGGTGCAATTTGCAAAGAGACCAGGCTAGAAGATATGAATCAACTTTTTGAGTTCCTGGGCTCTTTGAGATTAGTGCTGAGATAGAGCCTTTGTAGCTTTGTTGTTGTATGTTTGCAGTACCCTCTTGGTGCTTGCTTTGATAAAATTACCTTACATCTCAACAAAAATAAATCATGATTGAAAGGAGGAAAGAGTGACAACAATGGTTAAATGGCTGGAAGAACGGGATATCACACGTGATGAAGAAGACATATTAGTTTGGAAAATAACCTGATAAGGAAGAGTATGTGAAATCCTACGACAATCTGTAGATTAGACAAACGAATTAACCAGTGGGTTTGGAGAATGATTTGGATCAAAAGCCATCCCAAAGTAGCTTGCCTTGGAATGTAACTGCAAGAGATGCATGTCTGATGAGTCTGACCTTCAAAAAAGTGCATACATGGTATCCAACAGGCATTACATGTTTGAAAATGCTCTAAAATCCCCCAATCATTATTCAAGCACTGCAGCTACGTATGGTAGATATGGTGTCTGGAGTCCACTCCGCAACTTCTTTAAAGCACAGCTGGTTATGCCCAAAACTGTGAAGGAGAAATTCTGAGGTTTGGAAAAACAGTTAGAAGCATCACAGAGTATTCCACAATTCCTGTGTTATGTCCGGAACACTTGGTTGTAGAGAAACAGAATATGCTTTGAAACATAGCAGCTATTGAGAAAAGTATATAATTTTGCCATTATGTTGGATTTCATAGTCTTAGTATGCTGAATCCCTTGCTGTTTTACATTGTTAGGTGCACCTGCGTGATGCTATGACTGATGATACAAACATTACTTGTCTCAAAAAGAAAGGAAGGGGGGGAGGAAAGTAAGATAAGAAAACCTTAATCTATAGGTACCAAACATTTGGTGCTTAAATGGCTAGAGTACTTTATATTCATGCATTTATAGTTAATTCTAGACCTAAGCAGTAAGCATCACTGCTTGGAAGTGAACCTTTTCTTGACCTAAGAATCATTCTTGGAACCTCCCAGATAACACACACATTCTATTGCAAGTTCCACATTTGGTGCTAAATACACCAATTTCCAACTAACAACTTCAGAAAATACAACCAATCATCTTCTTAACTCAACTCAAACAAGGTAGTTATGTTCCCTAAGCAAGTACATGCTCCACTGTATAAAGATATGAATGCACTATGAATCTGACATTTTTATCCCGCATTCAAAAAAGTACTTAATCTCACCAATGCACATCAACACCTCCAGATAAAATTAGGCATGAAAAAGAAACTTCAGCGTACAATTATGCACACACAAATCTCATTTAACTATAAAAATGTTGTTTTGAAGTTGTAACAGCAGAAAAATCTAATCTTGCAATTAAAAGAAGGGAAATAACCTAAAATTTTTATAATTAAACATACCCGGAAGCATCTAGAACAGTCCTAGAAATCTTCATTTTTTTCTTAGCCCCTTTATACAAATCCTCCAAACTACACAACAACGCATTCTCCACCGGCGCCGCCTTTCTCAACCCTCCACCGGTGCCGGAGGTCCCAGCTCCAGCACCGGAAAATTCAGCACCACCATTCGTGGTACTCCTAAAAAAAGCATCCCTAGACTTCCTCGACCGCCCATTATTCTCCGACGACGAGGACCCGAACAATTCCGCATAAATATCATCGGCGTCTCGAGGATTAAAGCGGAATGTAGGGTTAGGATGGGGATTTCGCATGTTGTGGGGTCCACCTCGCGGAGGTGGTGGAACTTGACCCGATTTCAACGCCTCCTCGCCATAGAGATCGTAGATCTGACGCTTCTGTGGGTCGCTTAGAACATCGTAAGCTTCGGAGATTTGCTTGAATTTTGCCTCTGCTTCGTACTTGTTAGTGCCGAGGTTCTTGTCGGGGTGCCAAATCATCGCCAAGCGGCGGTACGCTTTACGCAAATCTTCTTCACTGGCATTGCGATTAACCTTGAGTATGTTATAGTAATCGACCCCCATTTTCTACTCCGGTGGGATTATAGGATTGTACACAGAGAAAATGATGAATTGGAAGTGAGCTTTGGAATTGTGAAGACGTGTTGATGGGTTAAGGTAAAAGAGATATGGAATTTCTGGCTCGTCTTTGCTAATAACACTATTTAACCATTGCGGCTGTGATGGCCCCATGTTCTGAAAAATGGGTTCTTGTGGTGACCCACCCTCGATTTGTTTTTTTTTTTTTTTTAAATTTATTTATTTATTTATTTTTATGAGAGTTCCAATGTCTTTCTTTTTCCTTTGTTTGTATGAAGGTTTATAGGTAATATTTACCCATTAGTGGTTCAACATAACCTTCCACAATTTAAATAGTAAAAATGATTCTAAAAGATATTTTATTTTGAATTTTTATGTATAAAAATAAAAATCTGACATAAAACACTAAAAGAGAAGAATTGGTAATAAAACATTGAGGTGCACATTAATAAGGAAAATATTAATACGAAAATTGAATATAAATTCATTTCGAAATGAAAAATAAACCTAAAATTCTTAATCCAACACATTCCCTAAATGTCTTTACTAATTTATTTTCTTTGTTGGAGATAGGTATTTTTATAATATTTAAATATCACTATAGACCTAATAGATGCAAAATTTAAATTTTATAGTACACACTAGTAAAGAAATTGGACATCAATTTATTTCGCAACAAAAATTGAACCAACAATATCTTAATTCAATACATTCATATGATTTTGGTAACTTTACGCTAAGTTGAATTAGTCGAAGAAAAAAAATGAGCATATGAAAAGATTTTCTATCACTCGATATGTTTGTCATTATTGTTTCTCGATATTTAAATTAAATGAATTCTGATAAAAGTTTTACAGAATATTCGTAATCTTATATAATGTTCGCTTGTTATTTGGATAAAAATAAAACATAAGTAGTTAAATTTGATAGGTACATTATAGATAGTATTCAGTAGCGACAGAGCCATTGTTAAATTATAAATAAAAAAAACTGAATCCCAAAAATTAAAACAAGGAAGAAAATATGAAATTGAAAAGTTTTATTGTGTGTCTCACACAACTTACATTAGTTGTGTGAGGCTAATTTTTGTCTCACAAATTTGTGAACCCCAATCTTACACTTTTGGGTCCATAAAAATCTGGGTCCACAAAACTGTGTGACAAAAACGATGCCTCATACAAATAATGTCAGTTGTATGAGACACAAAATAAAATTTTCTCTCGAATGCGTGCGTAAGATGAGTTAAAAGGTGCGGACATGCTTTATAAACACTTTAGAGGTCGTTTGGTAGCTGGTTAGAAGAAAGGTTATTCATGTATAAGGGGTAACATAACTTATACCATGTTTGGTAGGCAATAGTTATTTTGTATAAAATTCTGCATAACTAATACCATGTTTGGTTGACATTTTTCAATTATGCATAAATAATACATGTATAAGTTATGAGTCAATCTGTGTATTATTTTATGCGGGGTAGAAGATGGAATAACTAATACATGGATAAAATACTGAAATGACAAATTTACCCCTATCACTTTACACATAAGGCTTCCTTATTTCTCCGCCAACCCGTCAACAGGTTTCACTTGCTTTCACTTGCCAACTATATACCTTGTCTTCTCTCATTTTTAAAGAACAAACTAGCAAAAGCAAACTAGAGAAGCCACTAGAAAATGGAAATACCAAAACTAAGAAGTGAAAATCAAATATGTCTAAACTTCACATAGTTCAGTAGTATGACGAAGAAGTGAAAGTAATACCCAAAGTTCCTAACTAAATTGTTTCCTACATAAATGGAAAGAGAGAAAAAACAATGCAAAAGAAGGCCAGGGGTATAGTTGTAAACAAGTATTTTACTTTAAAATTTATATAATGTATATCAATTACAACAAACCAAACATTCAAAAAAATAATCTCTGCATAACTAATACCTGCATAACTAATCCCTGCATTACTTATCCCTGCATAACTAATCCCTGCATAACTAATACATGTATAACTAATACCTGCATAACTCTAACCGACAACCAAACGACCCCTTAATGTGTTTGTGAGTTGTCACAATATTGGAAGATGGCGAACCAATACTGGAGTCTAGGACAAACAACTTGATGCAAATCTTGGTTTTAAAAAAAAAAAAAGGAGAAAGAGGCAGAATTTGGCCCAGATTTGCCTATAGTTTGAGAGCAGTTTTGGTATTTTATCATTTTTAAAACTTACTCTCTCCGGTCCACAATAAGTTATCAATTTATTTTTTTATTTTGGTCCAAAATAAGTGTCCATTTCTATAATCAAGAAAAAATTCAATTTGTTTTTACAAAATTACCCTTATGTACATATCCCTAAAAAGTTTTCTTACTCCTCACATTAAATATTTAATTAATGGGTAGTTTAGTCATACTAGATATTTTTGTATAGAATTTAGTATTTTCTTAATGGGCGTGCCAAAAGCAATTTGGTCACTTATTGTGGACCGGAGGGAGTAATATATAAGCTGCCTAGGAGAGGACCTTAGTTCAATTAGTTTGGAAGAAGCTTATAGCGTGTTTGGCCAAGCTTCTTTTGAGGCAAAAGCACTTTTTATTGGTCAAAAGTGCTTTTTAGGAGAAGCAGAATCAGTTTTGGAGAAGCAGAGAAAAGTAGCTTCTCTCCGAAATCACTTATCTGAAAAGCACTTTTGAGAAAAATACACTTAGAACTTCTTCTTCTTCTTGTCTTGTTCCTTTCTCTATTTTTTTTTCTTTCTCTAGATTAGACTTTTTTGAATATTAATTAGTAGGTTTGTTTAACCTAAAATTCCATCGAAGAACGAAATCGGATAGCCCCGATTTCCACCGTATACAGATAGTCCCCTCGTTTCTTAAAATAAAATGATAAGAAACGACTTGAACCTCGATTTTCTGGAAACCCCGATAATGATGTCATCTCCGTGATGTAAACGCTCGAGGTGACCGAAACGTCTCGTCGGTTCGGTTCCCCAAAATATTAAATGCTTGCTAGTGACGGTCGGCCACTAGCGCCACCGAACCGTCGCCGTGAACCTATATATACAGGTTTCCCATTTGAATCAAAACTTCACTTTCATCTTCACCAATTTCTCTAAGTCTCTTCCTCTCTCCATCTCTTCTCTTCCACCGCCCGTTGATTTAATCTTTTAGGATCAAAAGTACCAAACTCAACCTCTTTCCGCTTCATCTCATTTGAATCAATAATGAAAACCTCCAAAACCGTTCCTCAAAAGGAGAAAGCCTCTTCTTCTTCTTCTTCCCGGCCGTCCGGTGACAAAACGCCGGTTGAACCGCTCCTTCACGAGATTGTTCCCGGCCCTTGTGTCCTAAAAAAGGACTTTAAAGTCGAGAACCCTCAGTCGGTCCCTGGCCGATGTGAACATGTATCGAGGTATATTTGCTCGATAACGGCAAAACAACTCGACGTCGAGAAGGAAGACTGCAACTGGGGGCCCGAGGTCGTGGTACAGATCCTCGCCCTTGAAGAAAGTATCACCATTCACGTGGAGGGGTTTCTAAGTGTTTACACTTAGCCCTTCACATTGGATCCTCTTGACCAGTTATCTTCGATTTCTGCAAGACGTACCAGGTTACCCTCGGCCAAGTGAATCCGTCGTTCTGGCGCATCGTGATTATGCTCTGCTTCTTCTCTGGTAAGGCCAAGGGGTTGGAATTCACTCTTAGCCACCTTATACGGCTGTATCGACCAAAACTTTATTGAGGATTAATCAAGCTACAACGCTGATCGACGAAGTCCTTTTTTGCAAGTATCGATGAGGACAAGGACCGAGGTTGGATGAGCCGGTTCGTGCGGGTAAGGACCTATGACCTCATCCCCGAGGAGAAACTGCCATTACTTGAGAAGTGGAACCCCGATCGTAAGTATTAGCCATTAATGTTTGTACTTTATTTTTTGCTTTATGTAACACTCTCATCTGTTATGCAGCGGTTGCCTGGATGCCTCACGCGGTCCACGACCTTGAAGACTGGGTTCGGAAGCTGGCTGCAACTTTCTCCCATGCCGAGCGCTGCTGGCTTGACTTGGCAAGGGGTAGATGAGAGGCTAAAAATCATGGTAAGTTTATCTTGTATGCTTATGACATCCTTTTCTGAAACATTTCCTCTTACGCACACTTGACTTCCTTTTACGCAGGCCTCGGGGATGTTGCTGAATTGAGGTCGGTCCCGCATGGGGAAGAGGTGGTTCCCAAACCTGCCAAGGACAAGAAGAGGAGAAGGGCCTCACCTTCTAATACCCCGGAGCCTAAGAAGAGTAGGGCTCATAAGTCGAAGGATGACTCTGCTGCTCTGTCTGCCGGCTTAGCCCAAAAGCTACGAGATGAAGAGGAAGAGGGGGAAGACGCCGGTTGTAAGCTGGTGCCTCAAAAAAGGGGGAGCATCGAGGCTCCAAAAATAGTCGGGCAGGTGATGGTCGAGGAGACTCATCCTCGGACCGAGGAGATCTCGGAAGGTACTCCGAGCAAAGTCCCCGAGCCATCGGGGGTAAAAGATACTTCCTGCCGTGGTAAACAAACAGCGAGTGTGCTCGAAGTGTTCGGTAGTAGGGCTCTTCGGAAGGGACAGAGCGCCCCAAGTGACGCGCTTTGGGCAATTAATATTGACGATTCGCCGCCAGGCCCTGAATTCTCTGAAGGGCAGTTTCGGGAGGCTCGATCCTTGGAGACCCTTGATGTGGAAATGACCCTTGATGGGGAAGACATATTTCGTGGCTGCGTTGTGGGGGTCGATGACATTTCCGACCTAGATTCGATGATGGTTTTTAACGAGGCCCTTCGTATCCTGAACCAGGTAAATTTCATTCCCCGTTATTACGTTTGCTTTTATCCCCTCCTTACTGATTTTTTTCCTTTCTCCATAAGCTGTGGTGCTCAATCGGGAAGCGTTCAACAAGTCCCAAGCCGAGTTGAGCCGGTGTGAGGCCGATCTCAAAAGGCTTACTGAGGAGAGAGACGCCCTCAAATGCCTTTATGTGCAGAAAGAAGAGGAGCTGAGAGACCTCCGAGCTGAATTAGCCCAGGCTCGTAAGGAAGAGGCCGAGCTAGACGAGCAGGTAACTAACCTTTTGAAAGAGTACGGTCTCGATCCAACT